CCCCAAAACCCCAAAACCCCAAAACCCCAAAACCCCTCCCCATATATAAATCATTAAAACCCAAACATGGACCGTAAGCCCCTTCCTCTCTCCCCCTTCCTCCCCTCCCTTCCTTTCCCTCTAACTCTCAACCACAGCAAAGAAAGATTTCTACCTGGGAGACAACACATTTTCAAACCTTGAAGAAGACCTTTTGAATAAAGAAGAGGGAGAACTATTTCTCGAGAGTGATCATAAAAATGTTAACTTCTTTGGGGATAAAGAGGAACCATCTGGGATAGATGGAAACTTCTTAGACTATTTGAAAGAAACTGGACCAAGAGAATCTACCAAGCAAGGAAGTGGTTTACAAGATGAAATAATGGATTCTGTAAGACAGTATTATGTACAACTAAATGATCTTCTTGAAAGAAATGGATTCTCCTTGATGGGAGACTTCTGGAAAGTTACCTCCTCTGAAATCCAGAAAACACTTGATGTAGTTAGTTACCTGTTAAAACAAAGAGGAGAGGATCAGAACTCCAAAATTTCTATTGCTGATGGTAAGTTTTCCGCTAATCTTATAGAGTCTAAAAGTATGAGAATCCAAATCAGAGAGCTTAATAAACAACTAGAGGATCTTAAGAAGGAGAGAGCACAGCTAAAACGGGATAAAAAGAACCTCACTACTCAGGTTGAGCTTCAAGAGAAAGAAGCAACCAAAGCTCTCAGAAGTAAGGCATCCACTGAAATGGAAAGCAAGAAGGATATTTCAAAGTAAGTCTACTATTTTGTAGCATTCTAAATAATTTAGGTTAACTCGAGCTTCTCAAATGTACCAGCATGAACTTAAGAAAAAAGAAAATGAGTTGTTTAGGATAAAATAAACAAATGACAAAAATTCTTGATGAAAAGACAACTTTCAGCAATAGTTATATGGAGATAAAAGGCTCTGCAGATATGAAGAGAATCGCTAAAATCTGCGATGAGCATAGAACCAAAGGAGATATCGAGTTTGTAGAAATGCTCAAGAATGGGTTTGATTCTACCTATAATGTCCTTGTGGAGGAGAACAGTCAACTCCGTGGTTGATTGCTCACTCTTCAGACTGAAATGAAGACTTTAGTTGATGGAAAAATGAACAGTTTAAAAGCAATTAAATCGAAGTTTAAAGATGACCTTCTTAAAGAAACCAACATGAAACTCTATCGCTTAAAGGTGATCGAGCCCAAAGCATTTAACCTGTCTCTAAATGAAAACATTAATGACCTTTTGGGTATTTTTAAAGAGAACCTTGATAGGATTGCTTCCTTTATTGATGCTATCATCAACCCTATCCAACTCTTTCAATTCATGGATAGACTAAACGACTCCTTTGGAAAGAAGTTCACTAAGGTTAAAAACTTAGACGATCTCTACAAAATAATCAACTCTGAAACAAGAGCAGTGAAGGATAGTGATCTGAGTGAAGAATGACTTAACAAACCAATCAAGAAATCAGGCGAAGAATTAGAGCATCCCCTCAACAATGAAAGAATAACTGCGAAGTGGAACACCGACTTTGCTACAGAGACAGGCGAAGAAGAAGGTATCTATAAGAATAATTCACATACCCAAAGTACAAATCAGCAAGGTATAGTTTGTCTTAACTCTTTTCTAGAATCCATGGAGACATCACTTAAGAAGAAGAAAGTACAGGTTGAGAGAAAGAAGTGGGAAAATATCATTAAATCAGAAAAATCCAACACATTTTTCTTTGATTCAGATGGGAGCGATTAATTTTAGAATTGAAGGTTTTGTCCTAAACTAGCTAAATTTTAATGAATTATTGAAATTCAATAGATCCAAAGGTATGGGGTTTTGGGGTTTTGGGGTTTTGGGGTTTTGGGGTTTTGGGGTTTTGG